TCAGTTCTTCTTTTCACTTCTTTTTCTCTCCATCGATAAGAACATTCTTATCATGTTTCTTAGATCATTCAATGAGAAAACAAAGAAGCATGAGACGAGAATACGCTGAACTGGAGATAAATTGAACCCAGATTGGAAAACATAGTACCAAGGGTCCTTTGCAAAAATAAGGCTTTGAGGAGAGTTTGTGTTCATCAGTGGGTAACTTCGTTCAACTTTTATTTTATATTATTTTTAGTTAAATTTTTTATTTAAAATATGAATAGAAGATACAATTAGATGTTTGTATTGACTGAATGATGAGCGTGTGAAATTTTGATGATCTCGATGAATGTGTGTTCTTGTATACAACTTGCTTGACGAAAAGCCTGTTTGGTTATTTTGTATTAAATAGAAGTTTAAGAATTCATCATGAACTAGTTATCTATTGCATTAACTCTGTGAATCTCTGTGCCCATAATTTCCTTTGAAATGATTAATCACAAGTCTGAAATACTAGATTTTTCTTATGTACTACTAGTTAATACTTGAATCATTTATTACTAGTTTGATATTCTGTTTCAAAAATGGATTTTTGTTTTGAGAGCATAGTAAAATGAAAATTTGAGTGAGGGTACAGAGACTAAAAGAGAGTTTAAAAAATAAAAGGGGAACGTAAAACACATTTTAAGGCCAGCATGGACCAAGATGGGAATTGAGAATTGAAAAGGAGAAGGAGACAAGAGGACAAGTAAGCAACATGTTGTTAGGATTCAAGAGCTAATGCCACCTGTGCTTGTCCTTAATATTTCTGTTTTCACTTCTGAAAATTACAAAAAAAAAATATTTCTGTTTTCACTTCTGAAAAATAATTATTGGGTAATATTTCTTTAACTTATGTTGTTCTCATGCTTGTGTCTTGAATATTGTTGAAGACTGGAAAAGAGCAGGGGTTTATATTGTTGATTGATTTAAACATGGCTAGTGAAATATACTTCCAACGTCCTTGATGATTTAGTACTCCCACATCACATGTTTGATAAAAATCTCATCAATGAATCATTCTATTCCACGATGGATGTGCCCTTATCAATTGTTTGGATTTGGTTTGGTACCTAGATGCTTTGGATGGGTTTCTTGCCATGTGATTTAAAAATTAAACTCTTTTTTACATCAAATGATGTGCCTTGGTTTGATTTGATAATGGATAAATTTGTTGGTTGTGTAATGTTTGATATTATGTGTTTTTTTTTTTTTTTTTATATCAATTCCTTCAAAGAAGGATTTGGCTAGTTCTTCTCTTGGCTTGTTTAACTTTCATGATGCAAAATGTATACTTAACTATGACAAAAAGGTTGTATTAACATGTTTATTATTGTTTTATTTTGGGTCTTCTAAAAATCGTTCATAGCATGTGCGTCTCAAATTATGTCCTTTCTATTTTAACATTTTACTTACCACTTGGCTTAGTATTTAGATATATTTGTTTTTGGTTCAATTTTGGTTTAGCCTTTTGACAATACTTTTATGTCTATGTTCATCTCAACTTGCAAAATTGATGGTCCCATTTGTTGAATCCTTGTTTTTTTTAAGATGCTTTTGGTACGACATATTTATTTGTCACTCTTTTGCTGCTAGTTGCCAAAACATCGTTTGATGGGCTAAGAAATTTACAATGAATCTGTCATTGTGTATTGCTTCATGGTTTGTGATATTGTTGATAACAATTGCATATTGTACTCAAATTGGTGATTCAAGCGTGAGTTAAAGTTATGAGAGAGAAGTATTTTAAGTGCAAATTAAAATCAAGTTTTCTATGAACTATCAGGGCACACATAGCCATTACCATTAGACTTCTTTTCGTTTGATTACAACATGAGGATCACATTACTTCTTTGAAGCATTGCATTTTATTTTTCTAACTCTTACTGATTACTAATTTTATTTATCATGTTTAAGTGTGTATATATATATTTTATATGTTGAGTAAGTTTTCATTTTAATAATCAAACCAAAACGAAAAATGCAGAATTATGTAAAAGGATTAAAAAAATATTGTATGATATCATTTTCTTCATATACGTATTGTCGTTGTTGAGTTTTTTATTGTTTAAATATATGCATGTATGTTTCGTTGTTAACTTTATTTCATTTTATAAAATTTCTAATTTATTTTGTAGAGTTTTTAAAATACAATTATCTAAGTCAATTTCATAATTTCTTGATGTCATTTTAATAAATTGTTGGCTCTTCTATTTTATTTTAATGGAAATACTTTCTAAAATTTCTAATAATAACCTTGTGAATATCATTTTTATTTTGAAAACCACCATTAAATGGGGTTGGATTAGCCATGGTGCTTGTTAACTCTATGTTCCTTGTGTAAAGTCTAGGGGTGAAACTGGGCTGGGCTGTGCCAAACTTTGCTCCGAAAAGCTCAACCTATGTCAAAAAATTTCAATTTGGCCTGGTCCAAGCCTAGTACAAGTCTAACCGTTAGCCTGACTTGATCCGTTTATAAAAAACAAATGGCCTAGCCTAGTCCGTTAGCTTGTTAATTTTTAACTTTCAAGCAGAACCATGAATCAACTTTACAAAATACTCAAATTCTGTTGCTAAACCAAAAATCATAATTTCAACGTCCAAACAGAATCATGAATCATAACAAAACTCATACAATCTGCATTTAAGTCAAATTCAAAAGCAAAATGTTCAAACTAAATAACATATGTTTCATCAGATCCAATAAACAAATTCATACTACGTAAATTAAAATAACTACATGAATCCAACAAACACATCATGATGCTTGTAGTAAGTATAACATCTCCTAAAAACCTTTTAATATATTCATATACACAATCTAACATGTTGAGATGTTGGTTCCTCCTACATAAGAAATAAAGTCAGATTTCTATTAAAATATAATCGAATATAATTAAGTTATAAATAATTACAACTGATTAAATTTATATCTTTTATTTTTTCTTCAAGTCATACTTATTCTATTTATTTTATTTAAAATAAATAGTACAATATAGGCAGGTCTGTAGGCTTATAGGCCAAACCTTTTGAAAGTGAGCCTACGGCCTTTTTATTAAACAAGTTTTTTCAAGGCCTAAGACTGACCTATTTTACGAAATATACTAGGTCAAATCTGGCCTGACATAGGCCAAGCCATAGGCCCCTGTAGGCCAGCCCGGCCCAATTTCACCTCGAGTAAAGTCATCTTGGTTATTACAACCTCATAATTTAAACTTTTTTCACCTTGCGTCCTAAGTTATCGATCCCACCAATGCAATTATCAAAATTATTTTCCTTAATAGTAAAAGCGGTTAACTTAGCTATGTCTGTCTGTTGATCATGCGACATTTATTTTGATTCATCTCAACTACAGTCTCAAAATAATTAAAAAAGATTTCATATTTTAAATTAGACATGATTCAAAAATATTAAATTCAATCAAATGAGATTACCAAAAAAAAAAAAAATCAATCAAATAAATTTCTCAAAATAAAATAAAAGGTTAGTTAAGTTGTGATTGATTGTTACTCTTGTTGATCTCGTTTAGGGTCGTTTTGGTTGTAATTGTTAGAATTTTATTTTATGGGCAATATTAATTAATTAGTTTTGTATTTAAAATTAATCGGGTTAATGGATATTTCAATATTATTATTGTAACTAGCTCATTGTGATCACATTGAATTGAGCTTCTGGCATCTGTTGTTATTGGGCCTAGTTGGGCAGCAGTGTAGGCTTTAGTGTGACCCTGGTTTTTCATGATGGGTGGACCCAGTGGACACAGACTCTTTTCTAGGTTATTAGCTAGGTCCCCTCTCTAGCCTATAAATATTGGAGTTAAGCTCCATAAGCCATCATGCTCCCATCGCTGAGGCTGCCTTTATCGAAATAGGTGATAGAGAGGAAGATCTGGCATGTAGTCCCTTCAATCTTTCGACTTTGTGACGATCCAATAAGGTACACACAATCCCAACTTTGATTTCATATTGTTTAAGTATTTTATAATCATATACATGATTCAGGGTTAAAATATTTCTCTCAGTAATAACTTAATGATCCTAATCTTTGTTAGAAAAGTTAAATCAAGGATGAAATTCTTCTTCTTAATTATTAATTAAATATAGGGAAAAAAGTTTCTGATATTACTTTAGATAACTTTATCTAATGTTCAGCGAAACGATGTCGTTTTGGAGTTGAAAAATTAAAAAATTAGAGTGATAAAGACTATTATAACCCTGAAATAAATTAAAATTACAAAAATACCATGATTTCCGTCCCAAAACGACGTCGTTTTGATGAACATTAGATAAACTTATCTAAAGTAACATTAGAAAAAATAAACCCTTAAATATATAGTATTTAAATTAATTTATTTTAAATGATTAACTGAGTTGAAATAACTTTTTAATCCTAGAATTCCAATTTACGGTCATTTTGGTTATGATAGCATGATCATTCGAAATTTTAAATTTAATCAAAATGAATTTCTATTTTCAAATAAATAATTAAATAAAAATTATAGAGTCTTTCAAAAATCAAATTAACACATTTGTAAGTATTTAATAAAGAACGACATAACTTTGAGTTCCATATTACACCAATGGATATGCCGGAGTAGGAATTTTGTAACATCCTTTAAAATTAATTCTTTTTTTTTTTTTTGGAATACACCTTTAAAATTAATTCTTGTAAAGAATATTGCATGATTCCTTTAAACTATGTTTTTTTTTATGTATAACTAGTAAGAAATAAAATGGAGAGGTATTAGTGTGGTTAATAAAAGAAAACTTTACTGTTAATATTAAGAATAATTTAAAGAAAGAACTATAGAAGCAACGATATTTGATACAAATTTACTAACGTTACTTTATACATAACTTCAAGCTAAGTACACATTGAGACTATTTTATAGTAGTTCTACGTCATACTATATATGACATCACTTTGTTACATATTTTACATCATGATGTCATATAGTTACATAATACATCAATCTTAGTCTAATCTAATCTATAAATGTAGGTCTCAACGCTTTCAGTGTAGAAGATTACAACAGCTTCTTGATTTCCTACTATAATATAGAACTCCATGCGACCCTCGTAAGAGTAAACAGTAATACTCCACCATTTATCTGACAAGCTTTGACTAGGCATTATAGTCCTCTGGAAAGGTTAGCACAGAACAAAAACACGAGTGAGATAAATCCCAGTAATATTGAGATTTTCTAATTATAACCAATTCCAACCGTAATAACAGAAAATACAATTCTCTCAAATAATTTCATAAAAAGAAATAGTATAATAAATAATGCATTGTGTAATATTTAACTGAAACTAAATAATTTTCCAACTTTGTGGGTCTCTACATATGAAAGATTTATCGTGGAGGAGCTCAAGCCACGGTAAGGCGTCCCTTACCTTATAACTATCTAAACCCAAACTCTGTGGATCAATTCATTGCAGTCTTCATTAGTTAAGTTTACACATTCTCTTCATAATTACTCGGTACCAAATAATTATCCAACTTGATAATCAGTTTTAGAAAGGAAATCAAATTTAAAAGAAAATAAAGGTACTATAAAAGAATAAAACCACTGAATAAAATCAAACTACTATAACAGAATAAACTCGAACTAAAGAATATATAAGGAAAAGAGTTTGGCAGGATGACATTGGCATGGAAATTAATCATCGTTTTGAAGAATAAGAAAGACGAGAGATTGTTTTTCATCACCTAATATTACCTTTTTCTTCGTTACTTTCCTTCCTTTTGATCTCTATTTTCTCTCAGGTTTCTCTCTTTCTTTTTCTAACTGTTTTCTTTCTTCTTCTTTATGGTTAGCAACATATGTTTTTGATGTTCAATTTTTACCTTTTGACAAACCAAACATTTTGAAACATATTCAGCAATATCCTTTTTCATTCCTGCCTACCAAAACATATTTTTCAAATCCTGATACATTTTGGTTGAACTAGGGTGAATTGTGAATTTACTGCTATGTGCTTCATCCAAAACTTCTTTCATTAATCCTTCCTTCCTATGTACAACAATCCTTCCTTGAAACTTTACCAAACCATCTTCCTCTTTGGTAAATCCTTCATGTTCCAAATTTTTTTCTAAAATAAGATCCTCCTGCTGAGCTTCTTTAACTTTATTTACTAACTCATTATCAATCCTTATTTTACTAATACCTAAACTTCGAGGCAACACAGTTACAGATAATCTCATATCCCGAAATTTTTTTGATAACTCCATTTCTTTGATCATTAAATGTGACATATGAAGAGATTTACTGCTTAAAGCATTAGCCATCACATTTGCTTTTCATGGATGGTATTTAAGTTCCAAATCATAATCTTTCAAAAATTCCATCCATCTCCTTTACCTCATATTCAACTCTTTTGATCAAACATATATTTAAGACTCTTATGATCACTAAAAACCTCAAATTTGACTCCACACAAATAATGTCTCCAAATCTTGAGTGCAAAAACTACTGCAACCAATTCTAAATCATGAGTGGAATAATTTTCCTCATAAGGTCTTGATTGTCTTGACCCATAAGTTACAACTTCTCTTTCTTGCATTAAAACACAATCTAATCCATTTTCTAGATGCATCACTGTAAACTTCAAATTTTCCTAAGGGATCAGGGATTATTAAAATTGGTGCATATGTTAACTTATTCTTCAAATCTTTAAAACAATATTCACATTCTTGTGTCTAAACAAAAGGGACTTCCTTTCTAGTCAACCTAGTCAAAGGTAATACTAATTGTGAAAATCCCTTAATAAATCTTCTATAATATCATGTCAATCCTAAGAAACTCTTGATCTCAGTGATAGTCTTAGGTCTCTCCCAATGTACTACAACCTCAATTTTACTAGGATCAACTGTCACTCCTTCTTTTGAGATAACATGCCCTAAGAACTTAACTTCTTTCATCCATAATTCACATTTTGAAAGTTTGGCATACAATTGCTTATCTTTTAAAAATTTTAAAACTATCCTTAAATGCTCCTTGTGTTCTTCTTCATTCCTAGAATATATTAAAATATAATCAATGAACACTACTAGAAATTGATCTAGGTAAGGTCTAAAAGTCTTATTCATATAATCCATAAATACAGTTGGAGCATTTGTCAACCCAAAAGGCATCACTAGATACTCATAGTGTCTGTTCCTAGTCCTAAAGGTTGTCTTTAGAATATCTTCAGTCTTAATCCTGATCTGATGATATCCTTACCTTAAGTCTATTTTAGAAAATACCGTGGCTCCTCTCAACTGATCTAAAAGGTCATCTATCCTAGGCAAAGGGTATTTATTTTTAATGGTGGCTTTGTTTAGTTTCCTATAATCTACACATAATCTCATGCTTCCATCCTTTTTCTTGACTAACAGCACTGGTGCTCCCCAAGGTGACACACTTGGTCTGGTGAACTGCTTTGATAGAAGTTCCTCTAATTGTTTCTTTAGTTCAACAGGCTCTACAGGTGACATCCTATAGGGTGTAATAGAAATTGTCCATAATCCAGGTATTAGGTCAATGGAGAATTCAATTTCTCTGTTTGGGGGTAAACCTAGAATTTCATCCGAAAAACCTTTGAGTATTCACAGATAATAAGGATATTGGCTGTATCAGGTTTAGCCTTTGCTTATGAAGGATTAAAGAGAATATATCATTGTGCTCCATCTAACAAACTCTTCCTAAGTTGCGAAGTTAACAAGAATAAAGATTCGTTGGGAAGTTTTGACTCTTTTGTGAAAAATTATATTTTTATTATGACAATCAATGACCACACAATTAGCAGACAACCAATTCATACCAAGAATCACATCTATATCAATCATAGGCAAACAAACTAAATCTACCTCAAACAATTTACCTTTGAGTTGAAAAGCACAATTTCTACAGACTTGAGATGTGGTTATCTTTTCTCCAGTAGGAAGAAAGATTTCAAGGTAAGAAGGTAAAATGGAAATTTGTAATGTTAACTTTTTAGCAGAAGATAGGGATATGAAAAAATGAGAAGCCCCAGAATCAAAATGTACAATTATAAGAGAATCTTGTATTAAGCCCTTACCTTGAACCAAGTTTGAAGCTTGAGCCACTTCCTGATCACTTAGGGTGAAAACTCTTCCTTTTGTTGTAGGTTAGTTTGATGAATTCTAACCTTGATTCTGAGGGCATTGCCTCAACATATGTCCAGGCTTCTCACACTTAAAGCACACACCTCTTCCTGTCAAGCATTCTCCAGCATGATTTTTCTTGCATTTTGGGCATACCTTAATTTAGGAATTCGTCTGACCCGCATTCTTCCTCCCTCCATTGCTAGCAAAATTATTTCCCGAGTTTTGTTCCCGTGGAAACCTCCCTTTGTTGTTCTCATCATTCATTCTCCGATTTGAGGCTCTGTTTTTCTCTCTTCCCTCCTCAGCTTCTTTCATGCTTGCTTCAATGTCTCTACACCTGTTTATTAATAATGAAGAAAAATTCCTGATTTGGTGTCCTATTATCATACTTTTTAGTTCATGTTTTTGTCCAAATTCAAATTTAGTTGTCAACCATTCCTCGTTAGGTTGATTCTGTATATAATTAGAAAATTTGAATAGTTTCTCAAATTTTGCCACATATTCTCCAACAGTCATGCTTTCTTGTTTTAGTTCAAGGAATTTTATTTCTTTCCTATTTCATTCACTTTGTGGATAATATTTTTTCAAAAAGGCATCTTTAAATATTGTCCAAGTAATCTCTGTTCATTGGCTTTGAAAAGTGTTTTGTTTCTCCAATCAACAAGTATGTGGCAAAATTTACACGATGAGTATTAGGACAGTTCATTACCAGGAATATTTGATCAAGTTCTTTTACCCATTCCATGGCTGCCTCAGGGTTATAGTTTCCACGAAAAGTGAAAGGTTTATGCTTACGAAATTCTGTGAGTCCTTTGTAGTCAGAATTAGGTCCTTCCTGAGCATTGGCAGTTCTAGGTCCACTCTCACTTTCAGACTTATGGGTGTGATTTCTGGTTGTAAGATCTTCCCTCAGCTCATGAATAATTTGCTGAATAGTTACAGTCTGTTCTCTAAGAGCTTCTGCCACCCGGGTAAACGCATCAGTTACTGGGTTAACTTTTGGTTCAGAAGTTGAAGATGTCTGCCTTGTATCTGCCATATATTGTTTTATGATAATTAGTTGATCATACTCATTAAAATAACTCAAAATATGCATGATCTATGCTAAAATACCAATCAACTATAATAGTTTAGGTCTTTTATTTACCTGAATGGTTGCTCTGATACCATAAAATATAACATCCTTTAAAATTAATCCTTGTAAAGAATATTACATGATTCCTTTAAACTATGTTTTCTTTTTATGTATAAATAGTAAGAAATAAAATGAAGAGGTATCAGTGTGGTCAATAAAAGAAAACTTTACTGTTAATATTAAGAATAATTTAAAGAAAGAACTATAGAAGCAACAATATTTAATAGAAATTTACTAACGTTTCTTTATACATAACTTCAAGCTAGTACACATTGAGACTATTTTACAGTAGTTCTACATCCTACTATATACGACATCACTTTGTTGCATATTTTACATCCTGTAGTCATATAGTTACACAATACATCAGTCTTAGTCTAATCTAATCTATAAGTGTAGGTCTCAACGCTTTCAGCGTAGAAGATTACAACAGCTCCTTGATTTCCTACTATAATATAGAACTGCATGCGATCCTCGTAAAAGTAAACAATAATACTCCACCCTTCACGTGACAAGCTTAGACTAGGCATTATGGTCCTCTGGAAATGTTAGCACAGAACACAAACACGGGTGAGATAAATCCCAGTAATATTGAGGTTTTCTAATTATAACCAGTTCCAGCCGTAATAACGGAAAATACCATTCTCTCAAATAATTTCATAAAAAGAAATAGTATAATAAATAATGCATTGTGTAATATTTAACTGGAGCTAAATAATTTCCCAACTTTGTGGGTCTCTGAATATGAAAGATTTATTGTGGAGGAGCTCAAGCCACGGTAAGACATCCCTTACCTATAACCGTTTGAACCCAAACTTTGTGGGTTAATTCATGACAATCTTCATCAGTTAAGGTTACACATTCTCTTCATAATTACTTACTACCAAATAATTATCCAACTTGATAATCATTTTTAGAAAGGAAATTAAATTTAAAAGAAAATAAAGGTACTGTAAAAGAATAAAATCACCGAATAAAATCAAACTACTGTAACAGAATAAACTCGAACTAAAGAATATATAAGGAAAAGAGTTTGGCAGGACGACAATGGCATGAAAATTAATCATCGTTTTGAAGAATAAGAAAGATGAGAGAATATTTGTCATCACCCAATATTACCTTCTTCTTCGTTACATTCCTTCCCTTTTGATCTCTCTTTTCTCTCGGGTTTCTCTCTTTCTTTTTCTCACTGTTTTCTTTCTTCTTCATTTACGGTTAGCAACACACACACACATATATATATAGAGAGAGAGAGACTTGCTTACGTTCTTTTGGCTCTTTGAATAATTATTGTATTTCGTTACGTTTTAACAGAATTAATTATATCTAGTTAAATTCTAACTAGATAATCAATATTTTTTAGATAACAACTAACCACGTAATCACATCAACTAACCGACGGTAGCTCTTTCCCTCCTTTGGGGAGGCTTCATTCACCTATCAGTATTCAGTGCCGGAAGACACCTTAATCCAGCCTATAGGTAGCCCTTTCCGTGGCCTCAACTCTCAATTAAAGCACCAATTGTTACGAACCTTGAGGTCACCACTCCAAAAGCTAGCTCAAAGGATGAGAGTATTCAAGGCCTTATATACCCCCACATTAACTTCCTATACAACCAATGTGGGACTTCGTAACATTTACGTAATTAATAAATTAAAATTTTTAAATGCAAGGGAAATAAAAAGACTATAGCTCATAAGAAATATATGACTTACATATATTAGTTCTTCTTTCTCCGGGAATTTTCTCTTTTTTGTGGACCACATAGGAAACTATATACAAAGCACAATATATGACCCCGGAATTCTGATGACTATATAGAATAATCGGCTGATGGTGTCTGTTTATACAAATGCACATGGGCAATCAAAATGTTACGCATATTCCTTGATAATTCATATGTATTTTTTTTTTTTTAAAAAAAAAAAACTACAACTCAAACTTTAAAATGGAATTATGACTTAATTTTTTACTTTAATTAAGTACATGAGTAATTAATATCCAAATGAGAAATAAAAATAAAAAGTATATATCTGAGTATAATTGATATTTAAATTTTTAATAGTGAGAGTAATTAATATAAAGATACTCAAAGAAATTATAAATAATTTATAGGTTTGCTTTTTCTGTAGTTACTGCAGATAAGTTATCTGCAGTAAGTCAAATACGACATCGTTTTGTAGCGAAAATCATAGTATTTTTGTAATTTTAATTTATTTCAGGGTTATAATAGTCTTTATATTTATAATTTTTTAAAATTTCAATAACAAAATGACGTCGTTTTGAAAAAAAATGCAGATAACTTATCTGCAGTAACTGCAGAAACATTTTTCCCATAATTTATTACTTAAATTAAATTAAATCAATTATAAGTAAAATTTAAATTGAATTTTAAATTTTTAAATTAAGAGTAAAGCTCATTTTGGATCTCTAACAAAAAACATGGTCCCTACTTTAGTCCCTTAAAAAAAATAGTTTCGAGGTTCATAAGAAATTCAAAGTGGACTCGTTTAGTTGAAATTATGATCCTTCACAAATTTAAAAAAGATTCATATTAGTCCCTCAAAAGGATTAATATAAGTCCACTTTGAAATTCATAAGGACATGTGACTAATTTTTTTATAAAAGATTAAAGTGATGATTATATTTTTTTATTAGGGATCTAAAAGAAACTTTACTCTTAAATTATTAAATTAATGTGTTAATTTAAAATGTGTTAAGCATATGTTGCTGCTAGTTGCGCTATAAGGTGAGTTTTTTTTTTCTTTTCGTTTGTTTTCTGTTTTTTGCTTCTTTGGTTGGCCCCTTCCTATTTTCTTTTTCTTTTCTTTCCTAAAAAAACTCATGTATAATAGTCTTCCTCTCTCTCTCTCTCTCTCTCTCTCTCTCTATATATATATATATATATATATATATATATTGATGAATTTTTTTATTTAATTAATTTATATTGTTGATAATTTAAATAATTAAATTAACTCTTCATGATATCATCCATATCTTCTCTAATCTTCGTATGATTTTCGATTATCTTGAATACTATTTCATATCAGAATAAATATTATTCTGAAATCTTAAACAATCAGCTCATTAGTAATTTCAAGGCAATAAATTATTTTCAATTAAATTAATATTAAATTATTTGTAATCATCAAAACATATTTTAAATTAATTAAACAATTAGGCTATAACAAATATCCAATAACCCGATCATCGATTTTGTTAAAACCAGGCCGATTCGAACTGATTTTCACCGGATTTAATATATGGCCGATTCGATATTTGACTCGAACCAATCAGATGATTGGTTAATCGGGTTCTGGATCGACCTCGATTCGAGCCAGATCTGATAATATTAATTTTCTCTTAAAAGTGAAGTGACCCTTCAATTTTTATGCAATATTTTTTTTTTTTCTTTTTTTTTTTTTTTCAAATAGATATGAGATAAATATAAAATATATTTTTAACATGAGATACTGATCTCCTATTATATCATAAAATCGAAACCCGTTAAATAATCACACATTAGTTTTGAACACTTTGGATGACGTGAGCCTAGGATAGGCAAAGGCATATTCCGAAATAATCTTCTTTCATAGCATTAACTAGAGATAGATAGATGGTCCCTGGTCCATGCGACAAATCATTCATATCGAGATATATATTGCACACATGACACAATCAAACATGATTTCATTTAGCCAGTTTGGTGGATATTAAAAGATAATAATTGATATGATAAAAGGGTCAGATGGGAGTTGAAGATAACAGTATCTAGGGATGAAAATTGATTGGGTTGGGCAAAGCTTTGCTTCGAAAAGTTCAAGTCTATACTAAAAAATTTCAATTTGGCCTGACCCAAATCTAGTACGAGTCTAACTGTTAACCTGACTTGACCTGTTTATAAAAAACAAATGGTCTGCCCTAGCCTGTTAGTCTGTTAATTTTTAACTCCCATGCAGAACCATAAATCAACTTTACAAAATACTCAAATTCTGTTGCTAAACCAAAAATCACAATTTCAACGTCCAATCAGAATCATGAATCACAACAAAACTCCTACAATCTGCATTTAAGTTACTTTCAAAAGCAAAATGTTCAAACTAAATAACATATATTTCATCAGATCCAATAAACAAATTCATACAATGTAAATTAAAATAAATCATGATGCTTGTAGTGAGTATAACCTCTCCCAAAAACCTTTTAATATATTCATATACATAATCTAACATGCAGAGATGTAGGTTCCTCCTATATAAGAAATAAAGTCAGGTTTCTATTAAAATATAATCGAATATAATTAAGTTATAAATAATTGCAATTGATTAAATTTATATCTTTTGTTTTTTCTTCAAGACATGTTTATTCTATTATATTTTATTTAAAATAAATAGTACAATATATGTCAGCCTGTAGACTTATAGGTCATGCCTTATGAAAGTGGACATACGGCCTTTTTATTAGACAAGCTTTTTCAAGCTCCAAGTCCGGCCTATTTTACTAAATATATAAGGTCAGGTCCGGCCTGACGTAAGCCGAGCCGTAGGCCGGCCAAGCCCAGTTTCACCCCTAATAGTATGTATTTTATCTTTTTTTGTAACATTTTCTAAAGGGGTTTAAAATTTTAATTTTAGATTAGCCCCGAATAGGATTGCCTCCCGTAAAGGATACATTTGGTTTATCAAAAAAAATAAAAATAAAAACATATTGTATATTGTGTTTGATATATACTAGATAAGCAGTTTGATAGGATATTATTATCATATCCAGAGGCGACAAACCATTTAATATTATGATATTATATATATAAATAAAAATGTCCTTTTTGACATAATTTTATATGATTTTTAAAAGTTATTTTTTAAACTAGCTTTTTAACATAATTTCATATATTTTTTTAAAATTAATTTTTAAACTAGCTTTTTTATTTATTTATTCACACATTAGTTCTTATTTTAAATTATTAAAAAAATTTAAAAGTCCTAATTTTAATAAAAATATATTGAAGTACATAAAAAAAACTTACAAAATTCTAAAAAACAAAAAATATATACCTCATCAAATAAATTTTTAAAAATTAAGTTTCAAATTGATTGTCAATATTGGTGGCCTCCTAGCCAGACTAGTAATAGTGGGTGGTGTTGATGGCGGCTGGTGCGATGGGTGACTAGTTGAAGTGGTAGTAGTGGTGACAGTGCTGACAATAGCCAGTATAATTGTGGTGGTTGACTAAGGGCAATGGTGTCGGTAACAAGCGGTGGCAATGATAGTTGATCCCTGATGAGTGGGGATGGCGATGGCCCGAGGTGGTGTTGGCTGGTGATGATGGTCGTAGTGGTGATGGCGACGGCATCGACAATGATCAATGGCAATTGTGGACTTGTGATGGCTGATTGTTGGCAGTGGCAATGGTGGTGGTGGTGGCAACGCCAATGATGATCGGTGGCAATTATGGGGCTCATCAGTGGTGGTGGTGGTGGTGGTGACTAGTGGTGGTTGGTGCCTGGTGGTTCGGGTGATGGTGGTGATTGATAGCTCATGGCGATGGTCGATGTGATGGTGGTGGCTGGCTAATGGATAATGGGGGCGATAGTGGAGGAAGAGGTGACCGATGGTCGACGACAGTGATAGCTAATCAGTGGCAATGCTGCCCTCACGTACCAAGCAAAGTTTGTTGGAGAAGAATATAGGGTTATATTTGAAATGAGAGGGATGTGACAAGTAACATTTGTTATCTTATCATGTTCATTCCTAATCTGAGTCCGCCCATATCTTATCCTTTGCGAATAGGATAAAGAGCCTCCTTGAATGAATTTCCAAAAAAAAAAATAATTTTTATACCTTACTTATTTAAAAGTGCTTTTTACAAAAGTTATTTCTATTTAGATTTTTAAAAAAATATTTAACTTTTGACTTGTGTTTTTTTTAGAAATTAAATTTTTTAGCTTCCAGAAAATACAGGTTTTTGACTTTTTATGACTTATGCCAAACAAACTTTTTCTTAGAGCAGGATATGAGCAAACAGAATAAGCTTATCATATTCTATTAATTTATCAAATATTGGATAAAAGCAGGATATGATAATTTATCTTATAACATCCTTTCTATCGTGTACATGTGCCTTAATTTAAATAATATATATTCAACCCTTCTTATTATTCCCTTTCAGTAACACCTGTGATAATACTTTATCACATCACAAATAAGTTGCCCAAAATGAATCAATTTCGGACAAATTCATGAAACTTGTTCATTGATAAAAATCCAAATCCAAAATAACAACAAATTCAATCTTGCCCCGTGCTGCATATCAATTTTACATAGTCTTTTTCTAAACGAAACAATTGAAGAATGTATTTTTCTTTTGTCAGACGCCATGTGCCCTTCTTTAGAAACTTCCTGCACATAGAAAAGCCATTCATTGAATGGGAAAAAGACTCGCTAACCACGCAAGATGCACAATCAAAGAAGCCCGTCAAATCTCAAAAGTGGGCACTGTTCACAGTGGTTAGCTGAATAATAATAATAATAATAATTGGCTGCTTAAGGTGTTTCATATGGTGGTTGATGAGATGTTGCATTGATAACATAGTGTGTATCGGTGGAGATTCTTAACACTCACGTTAATACGAGCTAGGGCGTTTTGGATCGATCAATAAGGCTCAATTTGGAGGTCACCAAAATAAGGTAAATATTTCATCATAATACCAAATTTCACTCTCATGCGCACACCTCACTATATAAGTGCAGCACATTGGTTGACATTAGTGGGATCTATATGGTAAAAAAATTTAGGCTCATATATTTTTTTTCCCTCATCTTTTTCATATTAAGAATCTCCTCCCTCTATAAATATAATATTCTTTTATCGATAAGTCACTTTTTATATCTTATTCTAATTTGATAATTTCACATTTATATTTTAATTTATACTATCGTCTCGGTAAATCACTATTATATTGAGATATTTTATTTTTAGTGAATGACAAATCTATGCTCTCACTTTCAATCAAATCAAGATATTAGAGTGAAAAATATAAACGTGAACACCATATAATATATCACAACCAGGATAAACATGATTGTGGGATTATAAACACATTTTAAAAGATATTACACAAAAAAAAAAAGAAGATATTACACCAATTTTAGGGGATTATGAATAGATTTTGAAAGAATATTATACTGATTTTATGGGATAACGGTAAAAAATTGTGCATGAAAAAGAATTAGGCCTAGAGTGAACCCAATTTACGGTGTGGAAAGAAAAAACGTACCAAACGAAGCCAAGTCATCTCGTAACATTGGTGTCAGCAAAACCGCGCAACAAAGACTGTACTCCAATCTGTCAGATATAACATTATAATAATCACAAACAATACAATAATGTGAAGTATTACCTAATGAGTCCATTTTCCAACACCAAACCAAATATTATATACACCATTAAAAATTTAAAAGAAAAGAAAAGAAAAAGAAAAAAACAAAAGAAGATGTCACAGAACAAGTCGAAGATTCCACTACACCAAACTAGTTGCAGTTGTATTCAAGGCTAAGGAACCGACACACTCAACCACATACCTGTCGGCAACCACAACCTTAGAAAAAAAAAAAAAAAAGAGTTCATAGTTGTTGCCGGAAACAGAACCCAAAAAAAAATAAGTGACACTGTAATGGTTTCAGTTTTGGTTCATGGTAGCAGAGAAAGACACTACTAAGAACACAGTGTGAGTTGAATTGTTTTGATTCAGCTTAAGTCATAGCATTAAGTCATTATCTTAATTTGGGGTTTCAACGCTTCAACTCAATGTTGGTCCAAGAGCGTTCAACTCCAAAATCTCCGAACTCAAAACCCCATTGGAGAACTATTAACCGCTTCGCCGCGACAAAGAACCTCGATTTCTCAACATGGGTATCCGAAAATGTCTACAAGATCGTGGTAATCTTGCTCCTCGTTTTAACCGTCGCCGCCATGTTCTTCCTCCGCAACGCCGGCGACACCGCCGCGCTCCTCTGCTTCGAGAAGCAGGCTCAGGACCTTGAGAGGATCGAGTTTCCGCGCGTCGATTGGAACTCGATCACACCCATCTCCGACAAGACCTCAAAGTTCGCGAATTTCCGGTCGGAGAGGTGGATCGTGGTTTCGGTGTCGAGCTACCCGAGCGATTCGCTTCGGAACACGGTGAAGATGAAAGGGTGGCAGGTTCTGGCGATTGGGGATTCGAGAACGCCTTCGGATTGGAGCCTCAAAGGTGCGATCTTTTTGTCGTTGGAGGAACAAGCTAATTTGGGGTTTAGGGTTGTTGATTTCCTTCCTTATGATTCTTATGTTAGGAAAAGTGTTGGTTATTTGTTTGCTATTCAGCATGGTGCTAAGAAAATATTTGATGCTGATGATAGAGGGGATGTTATTGATGGGGATTTGGGTAAGCATTTTGATGTAGAATTGATTGGTGAAGGTGCTAGGCAAGAGGTTTTGTTGCAGTATAGTCATGATAACCCCAACCGAACCGTGGCAAACCCGTATGTTCATTTTGGGCAGCGTTCGGTTTGGCCTAGGGGGTTGCCATTGGAGAATGTAGGTGCAATTGGGCATGAAGAGTTTTACACTCAAGTGTTTGGTGGGAAGCAGTTTATACAGCAGGGGATTTCGAATGGCCTTCCGGATGTTGATTCTGTGTTTTATTTTACACGGAAATCGGGTTTGGAACCTTTTGATATTAGATTTGATGAGCATGCCCCGAAGGTAGCGTTGCCGCAGGGTATGATGATGCCTGTTAATAGTTTTAATACAATGTACCATTCTCCTGCATTTTGGGCTTTGATGCTTCCGGTATCGGTTAGCACAATGGCTTCTGATGTGTTGAGAGGTTACTGGGGACAGAGGCTTCTTTGGGAAGTTGGTGGTTATGTTGTAGTTTATCCCCCTACTGTCCATAGATATGACAGGGTTGAGGCGTATCCTTTTTCGGAAGAGAAAGATCTTCATGTGAATGTTGGTCGTTTAATCAAGTTTTTAGTTTCGTGGAGATCGGAGAAGCATAGATTGTTTGAAAAGATTTTGGATTTAAGCTATGCAATGGCTGAGGAGCGCTTTTGGACTGATAAGGATGTGAAACTTACTGCTGCTTGGCTGCAGGACTTGCTAGCTGTTGGCTATCAGCAGCCGAGGTTGATGTCGCTGGAACTGGGACGTCCGAGAGCAAATATTGGTCATGGTGATCGAAGGGAGTTTGTTCCACAAAAGTTACCATCTGTCCATCTTGGGGTTGAAGAAACAGGAACAGTGAATTATGAGATTGGTAATTTAATCCGATGGAGGAAAACTTTTGGGAATGTTGTGCTTATCCTGTATTGCAGTGGACCTGTGGAACGTACAGCCCTTGAATGGAGGTTGCTTTATGGGAGAATATTCAGAACTGTAGTTATTTTGTCAGAAAAGAAGGACATAGATCTTGTTGTGCAGGAGGGCCATTTGGACCAGGCCTACAAGTAAGTTCAGTTATATATTACACTTTCCTATCTCACTAAGTCATATGATTGTTATTTTATGACTAAGCTGCTTATAAATGGGGGTTGTATTTTTATCCGCATAAATTCTAAAACTGAATACTGATCTTTCACAATTACATGAGATTGTTTTATTTTGTCAATAAAAGTAAGGAGAAAGAATGTTACACTTAGGGTCAACTTTTTCCCTGGCACTGAAAGACTGAAGTTCATTGAAGAATAAAATAAAACCATCTCTAGTAATTGCTTTGGGCCACTGGCTGTCTGGTGAAATAACAGATAAATTGCTTATGTGTTGAGCTGTTGTGAAATGTGAATTATGCTTGTATCGCGGAAAGGATATTACTGAAGTCAATTTAAGTATGTTTATATTAGTGTAGTGCATGAGATGTTATATAGCATGAGTAACTAGTAAGGGAAATTTTGGAATAGTAAGATTAGAAATATTACTTGGAACAGAGATTGATTGTTACGTATATGTTAAATATGAAATGTTGGATTCTATATGGGTACTGACTAGAAAAAAGTCAGAAAAGGGGGTTGGAGTGGGAACGAAAGAAGAATAATTTATTGAATTACTACTTGTTATGCTCCTCCCTAATAACACAAAAACTCTGAAAGTGCACTGACCTGACCAGTAGTCTTAGAATCGTTGACTTCTGATTGCTAATATTTTTCCTATGATATAATTTTAATTTTATTCATCTCTTGTTTCCAGGTACCTGCCAAAAATATTTGATCAATTTAGTAGTGCAGAAGGATTTTTGTTCCTACAGGATAATACCATTCTTAATTACTGGAACTTACTACAAGCGGATAAAACTAAACTTTGGATCACTAATAAGGTATTTCTATTACTGTGTTTCCTCTCAACCAAAGTATGGACTCTTAATTTTGCATGATAGTTACTCCCTGCTATCCTCCATACAAAATCCCCAAAAAATTGATAATAAAAGGCTTATTGGCCTCTTTTGGAATTGCTTGTACAATTATTTTAAGAATTTATTCTTAATCGTTAGTGTAAAGTTGTTATATACTATCATCCAATCATATGTTATGTGAATAAAAGAGTTTGACCTCTCAAGTTGTTGATATCATAGTCAAATTGTTTTATGACAATGTTAGCACATGAGTGGATAAAAAAAGCACTCCTCGATAAACCGTGACTAGCGAGGGTAGGGGTGAGGGCATTTAAATCGTGATTAGCACGTAAGTGGATGATATTAAAAAAATTTACACTAACAAGTAACAATTTTTCGAAATTAAATCCTTGTTTCAATGTCCCTTTTTTATGATCTTTTCAAGTCAAATAGTCAACCTTGCTGAAAAGCATATCTTTAACACTTAAATGGTCATTAGAGCACTCTCTTTATATCTGACAAATTCATTGGGATCCAGGTATCTGAGTCTTGGGCTTCTGTATTAACCAATGACAACTCAGATTGGTTATCACAACAAGCAAGCATGGTACAGAAGGTTGTTAGCATGATGCCAGCTCACTTTCAAGTCAGCTACAAAGATACAAGTGCCAATGACAAGAACCTCTTATTATGCAGTTCTGAGGTGTTCTATGTTCCTCAGCGCTTTGTCAGTGATTTTGTTGAGCTTGTTAGCTTAGTGGGCAATCTAGAGATCCATCAGAAGGTTGCAATTCCTATGTTCTTTGTCTCCATGGATTCTCCACAGAATTTTGACCCTGTTCTTGATACAACAATCTACAAGCAAAAACCTCCAACTAATTCCTCCACTCTTTATTCTGCTAAAGTCCCTGCTGTTCATCCTTGGAATGTATCCAGTGAGCAAGACTTTATCAAGCTTATCAGAATAATGGCAGAAGGGGATCCACTCTTAATGGAGTTAGTTTGAAAATAGAACTGTTTCTTGATGCTTATTGAAGAGAAGATGCAAGAAACATGTAACACTCAGATAACTCTTACACGGTCTTATTTTTTTTTATCAAAAACAGTGTTACACAATTTTTTTTTTCTGAATATTTCTTGGGTGGTATTGTAACCCTTTTTCTTTTTCCCCCCTTTTGTAGATTTGCTCCACATAGAAAGTGTATTAATCCTTTTGCCCCTTCTTTTTTGTGAAAATATGAAATGAAAATGTATCTGTATTCAATATTGCAATTCAAGCTCTCCATTGAGAGATTCTTTTTTCGTTATGAAACTTGGAACTCGTCTGTGGATGGATATACATTGCTTTCTCTTTCAAAACAACTAAACAATAATACCGCACGAAGGGTATGGTATATTAACTGTGCCAATAACTTTGTTAATGCAGTATAAGGTTCTTTGGTAAGGTAAAGTAGCTAGGAGTGAATATGGGGATGTGAAAAATGTGTACCCAGATCTAATATATTCAAGTACTTTTTTACTCATGATGTTTTCCATCTAATCACGATAAAGAAATTGCACCAATCATACCTGATCTTCTGTTGTTAAAAGGTTTTTAGACACAAATTCCAAAAAATAGACATGTACTCGAAGACTCCAAATTGAAGAATAATGATAACTAAGATGCATTATACATTGGAAATGGAACTCTCATACTAAAATTTTACATCTATATCCCACTATATAAATATTCACAAATTTCAAATTTAACTTAATTTTATCATGTGGAAATTTTATATCCTTATTTCTCTATATAAAATATTCACTAGTGTTATATTCACCTGTTTAAACTCATTCGTCTCCAATAATAAACCAAACAGTCTTCACACACCTAGCACATTGGAAATTGAAGTTACTTGACTTCTTCTGTAGTCAGTGTGTTATTATATTGAGTAAGTTTATATTTATTATCTAATTCATTTTCACAATTTTATAACATGAACAATCAATATATGGTATCAATCTTCATATTTTAATTGGAAGCTATATCTGCTAAGTTGGGTTGGCGTTTGCAACTGCACAAAGGATCGAGATCCCTGAAAATGAATAAAATTACAACAGGGAAAAAGATAATTGGATAGCAAAATCACAGTAAAACATGCCATTGGCAACAATTATCAATTCAGCACGGGAAGGAAGCTCAAGAGACAAAGAAGATACAATGAAATCAGCAGTTAATATCCCCTTGTGTATTCATCTCAATCATGGGTGTGTACTTCAGCGATCAATGCCTTCAATTTTATCTTCCACTTCTGAGTACAACTGTCTAAGCTTCTCAATGTTTTGTTCTGAAGTCTCCCAATAGCCACGTCCATTGGCTTCCAAGAATGTCTGCACCAGCTTCCTGAAGGAGTTTGGATTTGTGTTCAAGAGCTTCTTCAGCATTTCCTCATCTTGAATGAAAGTTGTGTTGGCTTCTTCATACACCCAGTTGTCAACTTGGCCTGAAGTTGCACTCCATCCAACTGTGTTAGTAAGCCTCTTCTCAATCTCACGAACACCTTCATACCCAGTAGACAACATGCCTTCATACCACTTGGGGTTCAATAGCTTTGTTCTTGCATCGAGTCGAACCGTCTCAGCAAGGGTACGTACCTGAAAGGAATATACCAAGAAGGTCAAATGGAAACCACTGACATCCATAATTCAAAATCACTGTGATTTGAGGATGTCACGAATATTAGAGTTTTTAGGATCAATTGATCTAGAGTTAATTCTTATTACACCATTATTTGAATAAAAACAAAAATGGAATTTCAGCGCAGCGTAGGTAGACTAATGCATTATTCACACTTCAAGTCCAAAAGCTTTTACGTGACGAGACATGTTAGAAATATAATATAAAATTATTCATGTGTCTTCATCTAATAACTTAAACTTTTAGGGGAGTTGGTCCGTGATGAAGATAATTCAAATATGTCAAACCAAGCTTGGAAATAGGATATTCATGTAACGACTTTCACCTGGGCATTAGCTGTGGTTGTGTCAGCAACGTATGCACTTGGCTTCTTTCCATCTTTCCTTAGATTTTGAACCAGGTTAGTTGGGTCTGAGTCAAAGTAATGACTGACATCAGTGAGGGAGATTTCTGACGAATCAAGGTTTTGGAATGTGGCGTCGGCTGTGCTCAGAGCCATCTCGAAGACTTTTCTTTTTTCAGTCATGCCTGCTCCAGGTGCATCACAATCAAAAGCAAAAGACTTTCGGCTTAGGTACATGTCCTGGAGCTGCTTCTCATCATTCCATGAAGAATTCTCCACAGCCAGGTTTATGTTTGAGGAGTAGGACCCAGAGGCATTGGAGAAGATCCTTGTTGCTGCTTCTCGAACTTCAACCCCAAGGGCTTGAGCTTGTTCTAATGCATGCTTCCTTACAAAGTTTTGCTCTGCTGGTTCATCTAATTCAGCAACCATCTTCACTGCTCTATCCAGAAGATTCATCTTACGAAAAAAAAAATGTATATAAAAATATGAGCAAAGCAATGAAGCAATGAAAATCCTAGTAAAATAAGGCTTACGAGAGTTTTTATACAAAAAAATGTAACCAGAACATCATCATAGCTCCTCATGAAGCAATGGACGTGATTTCAATCAAGGATATAAGTTATTTTGATATAGACAAAAAGGTAAGTATTGCCTATACCATGGCTAATTTAGGTTGAAATATGAAGAGTTCATGCAACTTTTTTGAACAATAACAAAATAATACTATGATGGAACACAACACAACACAACTAAATTGGTGTTAGGATCCATTTCTGGATAAATAGATAGGGAACTGATACCTGATTGATAAAAAGGTCTCTGAACACTCCTGAGCAATTAACAACAACATCAATCCGAGGCCTTCCAAGCTCTTCAAGACTTACAGGTTCCACCCTGTTGACTCTTCCGAAGGTATCAGACACTGGTGTCACACCAATCATCCACAGGACCTGACCCAGAGATTCACCATATGTCTTAATATTATCTGTTCCCCACAATACAAGCGCGATTGTCTCCGGATACTTTCCCCCATTTTCAGCTTTCTGCCTCTCAATCAATCTTTCAACCACTATTTTGGCACTCTGCATTGCTGCTGTTGTAGGAATAGCTTGTGGGTCAAGGGCATGAATATTCTTACCTGTTGGTAAAACTTTAGGATTTCTAATTGGGTCACCACCAGGTCCTGGCTCCACAAATTTACCCTCCAAGGCTTGTTTTAAACTTCCCAATTCATTATCAGCTACAACCAACTTCAAACAGTCTCCCAAGAACTCAAACAACGTTCTGAGTTTTTCCCTATCAGCTCGATAAAATTTTGTGTTTGACAAGTACTGAATCCATGGTTCATTTATGCCAAATCCAAGGATTGAGGTAAGCTTATCAGCTACATCAACAACTTGACCCTTCTTATTAGTAGTGCGCTCCACAAATGAAGTAATTGCTCCGCGTGATGTGTCAGTTATTTGCCGAAGAAGCTCTACATCCTTTAATATTCCTTTGTCACTCCCTCTATAGACATCCTCTATGTTTCTTCCAACAGTCTCTGCTAGAATAGATGGGAGAGAGGAAATACCATCTTCAGGTCGATCCAGCGCAGCTATGTTCACCAGTGTAGCAACTGCTTCCAAGGCTGAGGGAGGCTCGCCAATGACATGGAGCCCACATGGCAAGAGGCGGGACTCAATCTCCATGATCTTGGAATACACCTTTCCAACCACAAGGTCGCGCTCTTTAGCTGGGATCTCTTCACTCTCATCAGGCAGTGTTACATCCTTATCAAGATTACATTGCTTAGCTGTGCTTATAATTGAACTCACAATTTGCGCCCCACGGCCAGTGTCCTTGAGGGACTGGTATGAGGAGATGAGCTCACTTAACTGCTTAAGACCTTTGTAGAGTCCTGCATTTTCCGCTGGAGGAGTCAGATAACTAATGGTATTTGCATAGCTCCGGCGTTTGGCTATGGTAGCCTCAGAAGGGTTATTTGCAGCATAATAATAGACATTGGGAATATTCCCAATCAGACTGTCTGGGTAACATACATCACTCATCCCTACCTGTTTTCCAGGCATGAATTCAAGGGAACCATGTGTACCAAAATGGAGAACAGCATCAGCTTTGAAAATTTTCTCAACAAAAGAGTAATATGCTGCAAATCCATGATGTGGGCTAGCAGATTTGGAGAAAAGCAACCGCATAGGGTCACCTTCATAGCCAAATGTGGGTTGAACCCCAATAAATACATTACCATATTGTTTTCCAAATACCAATAGATTCTCTCCATCTGCATTCAGATTGCCAGGAGGTTTTCCCCAGTTTTCTTCTAATGCCGCCGCATAAGGAGTGAGACTTTGATATTCACGGACATTCATTTTGTAAGCAATGTTCAGATTCGGGCTGCTAAATTGCGCTTCTTTGTCATGTAATACATCTTCAATCAAAGCTTCAGAAGTCTCAGGAAGTCCCTCAACATTGTAACCATCTCTTTGAAGGTCTTTTAGAACGGAGAAAATGGAGGAGAAGACATTCAGGTAGGCAGCAGTTCCTACATTTCCTTTGTCTGGTGGGAAACTGAAGACCGTGATTGCAAGTCTCTTCTCTTCCTGTATGAGTACATAAATTTATCATGAGAATTTCAACAATCAAAGTCAAACTTCTCCGAGAAAACGGATGAGAATATGCTGTAAATTCAAAATGCAGATGAACCTAAGAAAGTTTTACTACTCTGCAAATGCATACAAGCTGATGACACTCTACAATAGAGAACAATAAAAATAGAGGACTTTTAGACACTGGTGACAAAAAAATCACATATATGAATATTTGCATGAAAGATGAGGTTCAAATACATTCCTCTAGGAAATGAAGAAAAGGGTAAGAATGCAATGAACATCAATATTGTGCCGACCACGTACACTATGAACTATACTATACAGCAGAAATTTGCTTGCATTTATAGGAAGCCTTTTTTCTATGCCTCTCCTCTGCCCTTGGAGATTTCTCTTGTCACTGACAAGATGAGAGAGATAAGACTTCTACTATATACTCGTCCATTCAGGACAAAGTAAATATCACTTTCATTCTTCACATCATTTATGTCACATTTTTTCGGTTGAAAACAATTATGAAATGTTGTTTCAATTCAAACAACATAATTCATCATTAAAGATTACTTGTATGTCATTTTTAGTTTAAGTAAATATCAAATACAGAAACT